CGTCGATTTCATTGTTTAATCTTATGAAATTTTTTCATGAAATTGTTTAATCTTGTGAAATTGTTTCATATAATACTTTTTTGATGAATTTGTTTCATATAAGGTTATGAAATTTTAATGAAACTGTTTCATGTATTTCTCCAAAATTAAAATAATGAAGATGATAATATCCATGATTAACACCCTCTACAATAAAAATGACTAATCAACCTCTCATAATTACAAAAAAATGAATAAAATGAAAAATTATGATTGGTTGAATGAAGTTTTTACGGTTTTTACAAATTGAGTGGTTTTCATTTGATCGCTCCCTTATATAGATTCACCCTTTTTTTATCAAAGTATTGCATTTGAGAAGTTGGCGACCCTTTCAGGAATACAGGATGTTTGGTTTCAATTGAATTAAATCACATATTTCATTGGTGATAACACACGCAAAATTTACATTAAAAAAAAAGCATATGCTTTAATAAATTAATTCCTCTCTAATTCCTAATGTATATGGTTTATTTTCATTAATTTATCTAGAATACATCCAAGGCAGCACGTATGACAAAAAGCTCACTATCAAAGCATGTATTATTGTTGCAACAATCACCATGGCAGCACCCACAACTTTCATCCCATCTGTTCTTCCTCCTCCGTTCTACCAAATCTACTCCTGGTGGGGTTTCAATCTTCATTACGGACACATGGCAATTTGACGATGTTTTTCTTTGGTTTCATCATCACCCTTGTCTCCAATTCCATGTTTGGTCACTCAAAAACACTTCTCCATGTCACCTCCGATCTTCCCAGGAGTCGTGACCCTCCAAACAAGGCGACTGCATTACTCCTCCAACGAAGCTCTAAGGCAATGGTGCCATGGATGATCATGTCCATGGTCTGATTTGTCCCTGTACAATCCAAGGAGAAGGATTCGTCACAAGAGAAGTCTCCATTTGGAGACACTCGTTGGCTTTCCAAACGAACCCTTTTGTCGTTTCCAACAGAAAGATAGCATCTAACAAATATGTTGCCATTTGAGTTGGTAGCTTGGATGTTTTTAGCATTCATGATCTTCAATTCACAGTGAATAGAAGATAGACCTTTTGGTGCATCCATTTCTGTATGGTTTGAATGTGTTTCACCTTTGGGTTGATGAGATAGACAGTGAGTGAAAGAGGAGTTATTCAAGTAATTGTGTGGCTAAGAACAATGGTGTRGTGTGTATATATATTCACAGCCTTCAAGAATCATTTCAAATTTCAAAATTTCAAATTTCAAATTTGAAATTTGAAATTTGAAATCTGAAATTGGTAAGAGTGGAGAAGGCAGTGATTGGATACAGAAGAAGAAGAAGAAAGTGGCCCAAATTGGTGATTTTAAATGTCTTATAAGGAGAAAGTAGGTTTGACCCAATTAGGATTTGGTATGGTATGAAACCCTTGCATAAATAATTTGTACATTGTGCATGATAATTTGTAGTTAAGAGATTTTTTGAATTCTTGCACAAAATGATTGTAACTTGTGCTTAGAAGGTTGTAATTAAGATAATGACTTAAATGCTTATTAATGTAGTATAGATATCTATACTACATATATAAGCATTTAAGACAAAGTCTTAAATACAACTCTTTAAACACAAGTTATAACCATTTTATGCATGATTTTCAAAAAACTCTTAAAAGACAAGTCACATTATGCATTGAGTTTAACCTTGTTTTTCTCTCTTCCTTTTCCATAGACAATCTCTTCTGCCAAAAATGGGTAAGATCAAAATGTGCTTTTTTCTGTTCTTCTTCCTTTTCCAGCTTCCTCCTCTTTTCTTGCTTCCTCCTCTGTGCCTTCTTCCTTTTCATGATTCCTCATCTGCACCTTCTTCCTAATTAGTAAGGTCAGCCCTTTGCTTTCTTCAATTGCTGCAACCTTTGCAGAAATGGCCGGCTCCCAAGACAATCTCATATGTGCATATAACCAGAAGTTTGAGGCTTTCATTTCTCCACAAGTTCTTCAAAACCCTAGCAATTTCTTTGGGGCTAATTCTTCTTCTCTGTTGTTGTTGATAATCAGCAGAAAACCCTGAACTAAAATCTTGATTAAAGATAAGTATTCACAGATAGTTTATGGTTTGAGATCATGACCATCTTCATTTCATCTCTGTTCTGTTTTTTAATCATATTTTTATTTTATTTTTTATTATATTTTTAATGGTCTATTGTTTGTTGAGGTTGAATTTGAGGCTGTTATGGAATATGAATTTATCATCTTTATTTGCTTATTGTTTGAGTTGGAAGTGGAAGTATCTTGATCTATAAGGGGGGTTTTATGGGTTTCAATACACCAACCAAAGGCAGATGCAAGAAAAATCTCATCATTGGCCAATTCTCCTCCTTTTAGTAACTTGTAGCTATCAAGAATAGAGAGACTCCGGTTCCGCTTACCCAGGTAAGATTTTACGGGTAAAATTCAACACTATCACTTACTTACCAGGTAAGATCAAAACAAAATCGTATGCAACAATTTATCCGGTAAAAGCTAACCGGGTAAAAGTTGTCGTTCTCACTTACCGGGTAAGACTCTCGGTCCTTACCTTCGCTCTTACCGGGTAAGATTTTTGGTCCTTCCATATTCATCCGGTAAGGTAATGTGACTTGGTAAGCCCTTACCCGGATAAGGGTTTGGTAAACGGCCCCTTAGTCTTAAAAACTTTGCAGATCTTAAGCAAGCAATAGTATTGGTAATTAAGACTGCATTCTGTTTGGGACACACATCTTCGGGACTGCACACAYATCTAGCCRCATGTTTGGGACACACATATGTGGTTTGCAATAAGACTGCATTATGTTTTAACACTGGTTTAAATAGCCCCTTTGTTCTGTTTTGAAGATGTTTAAAGTGGCATTTGAACCTGTGTAGTAGTAGTAGGATGATAGTCTAACTTTAGTCCATGGGCTATTGGTTTTTGATCTAGCCCACATTGGTACCACAACTTACAACCACACCACCTTCAACTTACTACCACCCATTTTGAGAATATTGGAGAACCATGAACATGTTGTTGTTGGTGGTAATCAAAGCTACTGAGAACTAGCAGTATTGTTGTTGTCATAGTGTTTGTGTTGCATAGGTGCCAATTTTCCACTTTAGATAAACTATGATCATATTGCTGTAGTATTTAAATAAACCTTCCATTTATGGGTAAAATTTGAACTACTGATCTTTCAAGCCCACTTACAAGAAAGAGTGCCGCAGGTCATATAGCCTGAAATAATAGAATATCTTTCAAGCCCATTCTTGGATTTTATTTATTTATGGCTCAATGCTCATACAAAGCTTCATCTGCCTCTTTATTCTTACTTTGTCCAAGGTATACCATTGCATGACACTCTTGGTTTGATGAAGCATGGGTTGGATACTTAATTTGTCCAAGGTATACCATTGCATGACACTCTTGGTTTGATGAAGCATGGGTTGGATACTTAATTTGGTTTCATCATTTGCTTATCCAAAATTTTGACCTATTTCACTTGTAATAATTTTGCCAAGGATTGAAAAAGGAAATTTCAGGTATGTTGTGATTGGATCTTAACTATCATATTCTGAGGTGATATGGTTAAAAGTTGAATACTTTTAGATGTTATCTTTCTACCTAGCTGTTGTTCCACTTGAAATGTCAATACAATGGCCATATTAAGTCTAAAGATCAATATAGTAGCCATATGTAGTTTAAATAGGCTTCTCCCACTTCTATTTCTATTTACACTGCTTCATATTAACCAAGCTTTTTTAAGTTTTTGAGTTTGTGTGGTAGGTTATGTCTACAGCATCTGTTAAATGTCAACAACAGGTGTTAAATTTCAACAGCAGAGTGTTGTGTGTGTGTATTGTACTTCAAATAGAAAATGACAACCAAACAGCCCTGTTATGTCTTGATATTTCCATTTATATGTTTATACGAACAAACTTGGTTAAATGAACCAACTTGATATTTCCATTTCCTGTTTAAATGGATTGTTTGCCAAAACAGCAACCTGTGTGTGCATATGTATTTCTACACTCATATATTAATGCATACAGAGGTCTAATCTATCTATGTGCACATATATCCTATTGTTCCATATTCACATATGTTACAGTTAATTTTTTTTAGCTATAGAATGCCTTACCTAAGTTGAAGCCCACTCTAAGTTGTTTGTCACAGCCACTTTCTGCCCCCCCTAGCATGACTTTGACTATATTTTAGCTAATCTAACTCTTTGTAGACGCTGCATAATGCCTGTTTTTCTCCTAAAAGTTCACTATTCACTAATTACACTTTGTTGATTGAGGTTCTTTATGTTCCACTGTTAGGGGTTGTTTACAAAGTTTTCAAATGTGGTGAGCCCACTCATTAACTTGCTATATATTCTGTTCAGAATTTTTGAATATAACATGCCTATTTTGATTTAAACCACATGAATATGCCTAAGTTGAAGCCCACTTTAAGCTGTTAGTCACAACCACTTTCTGCCCCCTCCCTAGCTTCACTTTGAGAGGGTAATATTGGCTTTGGTTTGGTTTAGAGCATGCAATTGATGTTCGTCTTGTTTTAAATCATTTGATGCATTCTATCATATATGTATCGATACATGAACTTGGGCATGCCCATGCTGCTACAAGTCAAAGTGTTCATGACTGTTGCAAATAGTCAAATTGGTCATTGTAGTTTTTTTTAATTCCCTTTTCTTTCTTTTAGATTGATATCATGTTTCAGGAAGCAAAACAGAGAAGCATTGTTGAAGTTCAAGCATTCAAGTGTTTGGTAAACGATACCTACAGTCTGGAGTTACGAACAGTCGATTTCACAAACCACAAGTCTGGACGCAGTCTTAAGTTTGATTGCACAGTCCAGACTTCAATTTTCAAGGTAAATCATGCCTTTTCTAAAGAGGATTAATCAAATGAAGAACATGTAGTCCATACAAGAGTTGGGAAAAATGATTTCAAGAGTCTGAGACTTTAGCATATGGCTGTTAGCTTAAAAAGGCAGACTTTATTAAAGTCTCCTGTGTGGCAGAATAAATTATGAAATTCATTCAATATTATTATATATCATTAAGGGTCATTGTTGATGAGTTTTACGTGATGAATAAAATATAATCAACAATTATATTATTACACATTTTGTACCATATGTTTCTATTAAAACCATTGTGCCATTTTTTGCAGGAAATATTTACGAATGAGTGCATCACGAAAAACAAACAACAGTTTCGATATACATATGAACATTATTTTACAAACGATTGTATTTCTTTGTTCATTCAAAAATTTCAAGTTTTATAATGAGCTCCGAGTAGATGGTTTCAGAAACCCGACATGTGTGCAATTTTTTGTTCATTCGGTCTTGCTAACAAACAAAATTAATCTTCAACTTTATATATTAGTTGACTTGTAATATAACCACACAAACTCATGATTCAAAGTCAAACTAATGTTTCCGGATTGTGATTTACCCATGCTGCATCGCGCGGGTACACCACTAGTATATATATATATATATATGTATATATGTATATATGTATGTATATATGTATATATGTATGTATGTTAGGAGTGTGGGATGTGTGATGGATTTAATAAAAGTTTTGTTTTGAGGGAAGGGAAAGTCGGCTGATGAGCACCATCATCATCACTCTTTGAATTTACTATATATAGAAAAGGGAGTTAGATGAAAAAGTTTACACACTTGCTATAATAGGAAAGTTTCCTTTGTGAATCATACGGATTGGCAGAAAAGAGAAGAAAATTCAAAGCTAGGATATTCAGTTTCTAAGGTGAGTGTTAAAAGCTTCGAAGTATCAATTATTTGTATAACAATTTAATTACTTAAATATCTGGCTTGTTATTCCATTATATATATATATATGTGTTGTGCAGACTTCATCCTAAACCGGACAAGTGGTGTCCGGTATTCTATCTAAATCGGACACGAGGTGTCCGAGATTTACTCTAAACCGGACAAGTGATGTCCGGATTTGTACTAAACCGCTCAAGAGGCAACCGTATTCTCTTTAAATCGGTTAAGTATCACCCGGATATGCCTAAATCGCTCAAGTGTTAATCGGGGTAATAATCATGTG